CGGAGGGTGACTGTTTATACTGGGGTTGTAACTTGGGGAGAGGCATGTGAGGACAGGAACATAGAGGCAGCAACAAATGACACTGTCAGATCTCTCTGGTGACAGCAACTCTTCAACTGCCCACCTGTCCCTGGACCACTGTGTCCAGCCAGAGATGACCCTGCCAGGCTGTGTGCCCATGAAGGGGACAGTCTCCCTGCCCCCAGCACTGTGGTGCTGAGTGTGGACAGTGGAACCAGACTGTGTGAGTCTGTGATCCCAGCTCCAGCCCCTGCTGCCTGAATGGCCTGGGGTCACGGTGCTCTGACCTGCTGGCCAAGGCTTGAACCCCTTTCATCAGGGTTGCTTTGGAAATTAGAAACCCTCAGACCTCAGGAAGCTCTTGCCCAACCCTCCCACATGGGGGCAGTTTTCTGATGGTTGCACAGAGAGTGAGCTATGGCTTACATGTGTGCACAAGCACACACACACACACAGACACATGTGCACAGTGACATTAAATAAGGGGGGGGGATCAGGAGAGGAACAGATGTGAGCTTGGTTATAAGACAAAAAATCATGGGGTTGGAGGCATCACCTACAAGTGACACTACCCCCACACTTCTCAGGTCTTGCCCCACATGCGCCTGAGGACGTCTCTAGAAGTACGACTAGAATCAGCCCCACTGTGCAGATGGGGAGACCATCCTGGAGGAACACCAGGATAAATACAAGATGTAGAACAGGTAACAATGAGGAGTTGAGTCTGGAAGCCAAGTCCTCTCCTCGCAGCTGCATGCAGAGCCTCCCCGGGAGCTGTGGAGAGGGCACGGCTGCTGTAACTGTGGAAGAGGTGGGTTTGCAATGAGAAGGGGGTGAGCAGGCAGCAGCCCAGAGGGCTGTGTGTGGAGGTGTTGTCTGAGGAATGGGTTCCAGGAAGTGGACCCCAGGAAGTGATGTCACTTCCTTTACCACAGACCCCAACAGAAATGGAACCTGGTTACCAGGCACCCACATTCTAGGGACAGCCCCAGAGCAACCTCACTTGGCCAGAGACAGTTCACAGAGAAACAAG